GGAAATACTATAGAAACTACATTCTACCATACAAATATAGAGGAAATGCTATAGAAACTACATTCTACCATACAAATATAGAGGAAATACTATAGAAACTACATTTTACCATACAACTGTAGAGGAAATGCTATAGAAACTACATTCTACCAGGTAAAAGCACACACCTTTACAATCGCACCCGGGGTACAGGGCAGCAGTGACTTACTGGCGCCACCGCCGGGGAGTTGGATGGACCGGATGTTGTGGTACATGTTGTAGCGGTAGGTGTGGCACAGTGCTTCAACATCCTTCCTGATACTTACGGCATTGCGGAGATATTCATCCTGCATTGGACTTATAGGTGTGAGTATGAGAGAAGTATTACATAGAGGGCGTTTGGACATGACTTTGAACACTTCTCCAGAGGAAGTGCCGAAGAGACTCGACATCTTCCGATTATAAGGATAGGAGTGTATACGAACTATTGGTCGCACAATACTTGAGATACGGACGCAGCAATCCTTATATAGGGCTAAACTGGTATTCACGTGCATGCATAGTATTCCACACACCAAGTATGTGCGCGTAAGAACATCTAACACATACATGACTCTGCAAGCTGGTACGGGTAGGGTAAGAACATCAAACAGATACTTGAGATCCGCAAGTACGTACGAGATAGAGCATCAAACGTATTGCAAGTATGTACGAGTTTGAACATCAAACGTTTTGCCCGTACACACGAGTATAGTCATCATCAAACGTTTACATGACTCTACACACCTGTGCATCCCCGAAGACGGGATAGTAAACCATGATGCCGTCGACCGATGGATCGTTGTTGGCCGCGTCCACGGCTTCTTCAGCTGACATGCTATCCACCTCAACCAACTCGAATTTGATGCCTGTTATAACAGCGATGTATGCGAGCATGTACGAGCATAGGGTTAACGAAACAGACAGACGACACTGAAGCGTCGACCGGATGCCGTTGTGAGACTCGTGAATGCATTGTGTGTGGCCCAGGTAGCTTGTTGCTGCGGGGCTAGAGGACGGCAGCACGTGACCACGTGTAGGTACGATACTATTGACAAAGGTAGTGAGTGAGTGGTCAGTCCGCAACCAGTTCGAGATTGCTGCTTGTACGAGGTCCACGATCTATACCACCACCAGTCGATGCCCAATCGGGACTTTATATGACGCAGACACAACGGTTGCTATTAAACTGATGGTTTCTCGTTGCGCACTCCTCCACAGTGAGGTTTTTTGACACCTTTAACACACATTCCTTCCGAGACGGAGTGACATACACAAAAAAGCACAGGATGTACAAGAAAACACATGCATTTACAATACACTCAGCGTGTCTTTCGTCGCACTCACTTGCTGGTGGGTTGCTTTATACAGTATGCATTCACATCCATACCAGTCTTCTCGCACGTCTTGGCAGTCCAGTCGGCATACTTCTTCGCCGCAAAGTCATCATTGGCCAAGATACCTCTGAGCACGGGGTTGTTGTCAGCGCCTCTGCGCAGCACCTCGCTCTGTATCCTCTTTCTGTTCCATCATAAGGCACGCGATAGATGGAGTGTTACAGGGTAGTCATCTGCTGCAAGTGTTTAGATGTACTGGCTGATCGGCACACACACACATATATATACGCATACTTCATATCTATATATAGTGCGTACATACATACATACACATACACGTACACACACACATACACAAACACGTACACACACACATACACAAACACGTACACACACACATACACAAACACGTACACACACACATATATACATATACATATATTT